TTCCTGAGCACAGCACAGTAGATAAAGAATCAGAAAAAGACCGTTTAGATTGGGCATATTCAAATCTGAAGGCCGATTTTTTTTTCCTAGTTCTCAGCAGTATGAAGTCTCATTTCACTGTATTTCAAATCTTAGTATGTAACCAAGTATATTAAAACCAGAGGCAATAAATTGTCATTCATAGTCTCAAGTTTTCAACATTGACTTTGCTTCGCTCTGTGTTACTGAGAAACACCAGCTCTGTCTGTTGCTACTAAAAGAGGAAGCAATTCATACCATGCCCAGACAGTCGCAAAAAGGCCTGGGTATATGCTTGGTTAGTGTTTTTTAGGATATGGTTGCTGGTACAGGCAGGGAGGCCCATTTGGAAATACCTGTAACTCTTTCCTTTGGGTTGGGGGCTCTCAACACAAATAAATACCCCTTGGTATTTGAAAGTGACATGCCTCGAAGAGGGACACACAGAACAGTGGAGAACTCTAGGCAAACACTCCGCAGCCAGGATGTAGGTTTCTCACTTTCCAGCTCTAACCTTTGAAAATAATTAAACGAAACTAGCACATGAAGAAATGGAAGGGTTGCAATCAGCAAAGCTGCCTGGTCCACCGTACCCAGGACCTCTGTCGTCAGACGGGCTGCTGGGAGGCCAGAAGCAGCCAGGGGAACCTGCAGGTCTGATGGAGAAGGGCCAAAGTCTGTTGGTCATGGAACACATGGCAGATCAGTAAGCCCCAACTATAATGCTGCTCTTTAGTTAATCCTATGGCAAGGAAGTGGGGAAAACGGGCTTTTCATTACTCAGGATCAAATAGTGATTTTGGTTAGTGTGAATTCATTTAAATAAATCATGTATGTGCGCCAGGAGAAAGAGGAGGAAATCTTGGTGATTAATAGTGAATTCTACTTCTAACGTATGACACAGTAATTACTTTTTAAGTTGTACAAATCCTTATGGGTTTCAAGAATGGGATTTTGTAAAAATTAACCAATTCTAATAATTAGCAGACTATCTATTGAAAAGATGTTTATAATCACGTTCCTGGATGATCATGAATCACAGTGGTATGTAAAATTTTACTTCCTTCCTTGCAGTGCCTAACAGTAGAATAGGCTGGCCTGGTGAAAACTTTACTGTAATAGAATCACATATATTTGAGTCACTGGGGTGGAGGGTGAGAGTGGTGGTGGGTCTCGTACCAAACATCCTTTACGTAGTAAGGAAGCAAACCACTTTAGGGGCTCTACGTGTGTTAACAGGCTGGCCAAATGTTATGCTTCTGAACTCATTTCGGTTATTAAAAACAGAATTTTCTTTAATATGAAGATGGTTGGGGTCTGAGACAACCCTGTACTAAGAATTCAGTTATCCTTTATGACAAGGTCTTATAATTACCTTTTGAAGACCAATTAAAATAGCATTGTTGGAACTTTAAAACTGAAAAATCTACTTAAATTCTTTAATACTTCCGTCTGCCAAGAAAAATTCTGGATAATATCCGAATTTAAGAACGGTACATAAAATCTTTTGGGAAACAGAAGTATACAGACTGTTCCACGCCAGGAAGGATAAGCGTGTATAACGAAAAGTCCAACGAGCTAACAGTTGAATGGATTTGATTTAAATTTCAAAAACAATCATCACTAGGACTTTCTGGATTCTTTGATTACTCTTTACTATATATAGCTTTGAAAGATTTAGGTCTAAAAAAAAACCCCACTTTCCAGCGGCAGTGTAGCACGGAGGGGAAGCAGACTCACCCCGGCCCCGCCACTTCCTAAATGCACCATCTCCAATCTACCGAACTGCTCAGAACTTTCAGTTTCGTCATCAGGGAGATAAGGAAAAACAGTCTCTCTCTCAGAAGGCTGTTGTAAGGGTTAAATGAGTTGATGCATAAAAACCACTTAGAAAAGCGCCAGGCACATAGTAAGCACTCGGTAAATTCAGCTGTTTGTACTACTTTATTTACATACTGCAGAGGCTGAAGAAAGCATGCACAGAAGTAATCTTAATTCTGCAGTTTTTCACTCTCCATCTAGGAACAGAGGTAGGAATTAGGAGGCCTGTTTTCAGAGAAAATGTACATCACTCACTATTCACCTTTTAGTCACTCCAAGCGACTGGCCAAGCAACAGCCCGAGCCAAGCCTGGTCCGGCATCAGGCACTACTCTGAGAACTTGAGTTCCGTCACCCGCGTTTTCACATCTGTAAAATGGATGTAACATCTCCTTGCCTGACTCATAGGTTACTTGGAAGCTCAAGTGAGGCAAAAATGCGGGAAGGCACTTTGAAGACTTTGTAAAGCACCATCAGAGAGTGTTACAGGAATCGCTGTAGGGTGAGTATGTCTGGACCCTCTCAAACGAAGTTTATGACTCCTAGTTCTGGGTCTAGTTAAGAAACTTTTCATAAAACTGTAGGTTTGTTTCTAACTATAACATCATTTATAAAATCGTAATATATTTTATTACAAACAGTTTCTCTTCTTAAACCTCAGCTCTATGGAGATTATTAACATATCAAATAGTTGGTTGAGAAATATTTTCCTTTAGAAATTTCAGTTGCAAAGAAAATGTCAAGCTATGTGTTTATGCTCATAAATTAATATCATATTAACTAAGTGAAAAACTGGCAGTTCCATTAATTATTAAATGCTTTACGCACACTATTTCATTGAATCCTTACAGTGACCCCATAAAACAGGTAGAACAGCCCCATCACATAGGGTTAGAATCCTAGAGCCTGCAAAGCACGTGCTCTCATCCACTCTACTACATTACACTATACAAGCACCAGAAGAAAAAGTCATGATCATTTCTCTCTTCGTCAAATCACGTAATTAAGAGAACCAACAGAATGAAGGGCTCCAAACTATGTTTTGATCCTTGGTAATAAAGATGACTTTAGAAAAGTTACATGAGCGCTTACAATTCAGTTCGTTTTAAATCTTTAAAAAAAATGCTTCCAGTTTTTTTTTCTTTCTTTCTGGAAATAACACATTGTTCACTGCAAAAAGAATACAGACAAGTAGAATTAAAATATTCATAATTTCATTATTCAGGAGAACCACTGTTGACACAGTTCCTCTCCGTGTATTTTTATGCAATTGTGAATATGGAATTTATTTTTTGGTAATTGTTCTTAAACATGATGCCAAATACAACGGTCAGACTTTTAAGTCTTTTTAATTGGCAGATATGCTAAACTAACAGTGAATTTTGTGCAGGCAGAAAATTATTTCTGATACGTATTTTCAACACTTTCCTACGTGGAAAAACAAGTAGAGAGTAAGTTATTTGGTGATATTAACTCAAAACTACACTGCTCAGGAGAGAAACTTAGGTGGAAATTCTTGACTTGATCTTTGTCTTCTATGCATGTGTACACAGATACACACACACGACAGATGTTCGTCCACACATGCGAAATGTTTCTGCTGGGTTAAGATTATAGCTTTCTGCAGGCCCAATAATACTAGGACTATAGTATTAGGATGGTCAAGGAGAAAACTGTTTTGTAGTCACCGAACTTTACTGAAGTTAGACTTATGGATGATTAAACTGTTAAGTTTTTCCTTGTGAATTGGTTAAATATTTGCTTGAGGCGGCATATTTAAGATAAACAAAATTCTTTTCAGGGACCATACTAATCCTGAGTATAAATTCAGAGAAAAAAAGTTCTACCACTTGTGAAACGGTATCATAAGGAGTAGTGGAAAAAATCGTGACAAAGCAGCACAATAATTTAGGGCAAAGATTCTAGGTATGATGTCGAAGTGTGTGTGAGGCCCCATTACTGATACTATGATTAAGGTGACTTAAACGAAAACCTGACTCTTTCTAAACTATCACTGGCCATTAATTTATACAAGAAGAGAAGCAAAAGTTTAAAAAAATATGGAAGTCCTTATAGAAAACAGAAGGCAGACAGGGATCAAGTTTTTTAAAAATAAACTTTCTAGTGCTTCCTCTTATGTAAGAGGTTTATATTAGTCATAAGTTCTAGGAACCTATTTATACTGCTCTAGTAGGATTTACAGAAAATCATACTAAATCCATATAAATAATATTTTTAATGTAAGAAACGGTGCAGACTGGTGACTGGGTAAGAATAAGAATGTTCAATAAAACTATGCTTTGAAAGAAAAGTATAAGCCTAATACTAACTGAAAACTGTCTAGACAAAAGGAGTATTAAAAGATTCTGAGAAACATGTAATACAGAACTATATGTGTGCTTGTGTATTATACTGAAAAATTAATTATCAGGTATTTCTGAATTAGGTTAAAACTGCATATACTTCTTTCTCAGGGAGTGAAGTATTCTCATCATATCCAACTGGAAGGAGAAGTATTATGTTTCAAATGAGATTAAAACATGACTTCATCCTATTCTCTGTAAAAGAGAGTATTAATGTTAGACACTGCTTTATTACAGAATGTTTTTTCACGGAAAGAAAAGGTTTATGAGGTAATTATATATAATTTTAAACAAGATTCTTCTTAAGTGTATATTTCTACATCTCTTTAAAAGTAGCATTAGCAGGTTACAAATTGAACCCAAGTCAGGACTACACACTTCCTTACTTCAGAGGTTTAGGTAACCTGAGGGAATAAAGCTGATATGCTCAAAACTCTACTTCAAGAAGAAAAATGGGCAGGTGATGCACTTCCAATCTGCTTTTGAAGCACGAAAGGCATATTATGCCATCTTGTCTACAGATATTTATTGGATAAATAAATACAGTTTACCTAACGTTTTAAAAATCCTATAAGCTGATTAAATCACGAACATACTGAATCAATTACAGTAAAGCAAAGAATAAGCTTTTAAATAGCTATAAATGGAAATGATGATAATAAAAACACGTTCAGTATCTTCTAGTGACAATTTCTTTTTGGATTAAAAATAACCCCAGTGTCATTAAATGCCCTCTATGTTTCAGCCCTAATATTTTAAGAAGAGTAATAAATATATATACATATTAATAGCATGAAAGTGCTTCACACTAGAATTTTCTTCGAAGGCTTAAAACTGATTTTTAAAAACATCACAATAAATGATAATTTAAGTTCTGAATATAGGAACCAAAAAACACAAACCCCAACCAATCTGCATATTTTAATGCTTACAACATATATACTCATTTACTCAGATGCAGCTGTCCCAATTTATTCTTTATCATAAACAGTATCACAGACAGTAATATGTCCCCAAGTCCCTCTCTCCGTGGAAGACGTGGTATCTCTGGGGACCCATTCATCACCGGTAAAACTGTATTCCTTCAGAAAAAGTTAAAGGAGTCTGTATATCCTTTGACATACTTTTTCCGAATAGAGTTATAAGGCATTAATAATGGTATGTAAAAATAGCAAATAATTTATAATAAAAATAGAAACTCTCTTTTAAATCACTTTCAACCAAGAGAATCACAGAAGAGGACAAAGAACATATTTACCACCCAGATACTCTTTAAGTTTCTACTGTGATGTAAAGACTTTTTTTTTGGCTTAAAATAGACCTTAGACTTTGAATAGCAAGTGTCTTGATACCAACATGTGGACCGGATCCTAGGTTCTGTTTAAAGTTATTGTGAAATTTATATATTCAAATGTGCTCATCGCTAGTAAAGGTAGAAAAAGTTAGTTAAAATATTTGGTTTCATTATTATTACCAGTATTCACTGCAAATCAGCTTCATGGTAATATTCGAGACTACAGTGTGGATGAAAGTTTTGTGCCAAATAGCGTCAGAGATGACTAAATCATGGTTCAAATGATGGTCAGTGATTTAGCTGGTACACAGCCAGAATGAAGGAATTTGTTTATAATAGATAAGTAAGTATGGAGCATAGCTTTATTTTAATATCAGTTGCTAGAACTGAGCAGTGGGTTTCTCGGTATCCAGAAGCAGAAATAAAGCTGCTTTTCCTAAGTTAGAGTGATGACGAGGACAGAGGACAGCGGCCTTGGTGACCGTGTAGCTAACTGGCTTGTTAAAATCCATACCTGAGCTCTACTGGAGCGATGCCCCCTTGGTGTGCACTGCTTATCTGTAAAGGCTGACTGAACAAAATTCCCTTCATCATACAGGCATTGCTGTCTGCACTACAGTAATAAAGGAACACTCGGATAGATATCACCGCTTCCAGTGATAAGCAATCTCCAGGAATCTGCAGTGAGATCGCTGGTTGACTGGAAATGCTCTCTATTTCTCCAGAGGGTATCTGTCCTTGAAGAAGCCACTCATTGCCTAGGAAATAAAAAGGTAAATTACTAACTGTATAAGAAGACAAGGTAATTCGACAAACCTTATGAAGACTAAATTCATTCAACCAACAGATATTTAACAAAAGCCTCTAAGTTCCAGGCATTATGCTCTGTGTGAAGGACATAGATGGGATATAATGACCACCCAGGAGAAGTTTTCAGGCTAATAATCTTGATATCAAATTACTAAAATTCTTCCTTTAAACACTGTAAATTACAAATTTCTACTGGAACCAATCTGAACAATGCAAATATGCCTATAGATCCTTAATCCTTGAAATTAAAAAATGAAAACTACTAAGTTCTATAAGGCCATTTTTATCAGATAAAGTGTTTAGGAAGAGCATATGACAACTACAAAATAACCTAGGGTATACCAATGTATGTACAACTCTGCGGTGACTTTCAAAGTCAAGGTCATGATGAATTATTAAATATCCAAAGGTAAAAACCAAGAAATACATTTTTAGAAACAAGTAACACTGTATATATTATTCAGATGGGCTCAATAATGTAAACACAAGATTCTACCTCATTTTAATACCTAACTCTTCGTAGATTTAAATACATAGATTATAACACAGGTCTAGTAAACCATTAAAAATCTTCAAGCTTCTAGTATCAGAATTTTAAACATGTCTTTATTCATGCAGTGCCTCTCAGAAAGGACGTCTGTGTCGTATTGAGGAAGGCCATGTTTACATGGACTTTCAGCTGAAAGAGGGGTTAGAAATCAAGAGCCCACATCTGGAAAACACAGGACATGCTTTCCTGCCATCTTAAAGAGAAGACGCAGAGCACAGTCTCATGACTTCTCAATGACTTGGGTCATTAGTACAAAAACTGGACCGCCTACTGAGTGGTAATGAAATTCTACATCTACTTTTTAGCTTTTTTCTTTCTTTGCACCTCAGGATGGGCCAACAGACTCAGAGCACCTGCTTCTATTAGGTCTCTCCATCTCCCTTCCAGTACTGCTTCTAGTTCTCTCTTGGTTGAAAAATCAAATTTAAGAAAAATATGTCAGGTTGGGGAAGGAGAAAGGAAAAGGTGAAAATCTAAAGAGTTAATAAGTGAAGAGCTTTTAAACCATTATTTAAAAATTCTCTTTAAAATTTTTTGGCCTTCTTTGCTTACTTGGGAGAATATGTTTTACTTCATGGTTGGCTTTGCTAATAGCAGAATAGTGGGGAACTTTTTATATTTTAAATCAAAACAGGAAAACAACTGTGCTATTTTAATGTCCAATTCTAGAAATAAACACAAAGTCTTTTTAGATATTTTTCAGATATATCACATGTATATATTTGTGAAGTTGTAATATGCCAGTGGTGCTTTCTGGAGGGGGGAGCTTAAAATCTTCACATGTGCTGACACCTTTAAGATTATATAGACCAAAATTTAGTTAAAAATAAAGAGATGTTTTAAGTTCTCTAAATAATTGGCCAAGAAGAAAAACCTTCCTTTAATCACAGATGTACAAATGTACCCTATAAAATAATTTTCAAAAACCTTAAATTATTAGGACTCTTGTCTGAAAGCTTATTTGCCCATGTACAATGAAAATGGAACCACTATTTTAAACTAGGGATAAAATAGGAATTTTCTCTACAGACTACTTCACCTTAATACTACCTGTATTTTGTATTCTAGTGGCTCATTATTAATCTGTGTGTTGGACCAAATAGACTTGAACATGTTCATCTGCCAATATTGTATTTTAAAAATCAACCCACTGCTCTCTAGTTACACTCGGAGAGGGAAATAACCGTGATCCCAATCGGCTCAAGTGCTTGCCGACTAACAGACACAGCACGACAGTTAAGCCAATGGTCGAGGACTGACGAATGGCCCAGGTTTGAGGACTCCCCTGTCCCTGTCCATGGAGCTGGCTCTGAACCTCTCCCTCCTTCTCACCTGCAGAGCTCAGCCCTCTGTCCCTCGTGGTGGGCGGGGTGGTTCCCACGGCTCAGTCAGGCACCCCAGAGCCGGCCTCCCCACTCTGCCCCAGCAGTTCCTCCTGGCTACACCACCAAGATCTCTCTGTTCTCGGTGTGGATCCCCAGCGGGTAGCTGCATGACCGCAGCTGCGGCCCTGAGAAAGCAGCAAGGTAGGAAGGCACAGAGCCTGGGACTGGGAAGGCACAAGAGAAGTGTGTGAGAGGGTAGGAGGGGGGAGGCGGGAGGAAATGGAAGACTGAGAACATGTGAAAGAGCGTGGGAGACCAGGCCAGAGGAAGGTCATTAGAGACAAGAAGTCAGCCCTTAGTTCTGACTGCTAGTAGTTTACAGTAGTTGTCCACTCTGTTAGAGGGGCTGGGGAGCACTGCCAGCAGGCCAGCGGCAGGCTGAGTCCTTAAACAATTGGGATCACACAGTGATTCAAATACACATTCAAATCTTTACACAATTTATAGTCACTGAATACTTTGAGAATAGACTCAAACAGGATGTGCTCTTAGCTTAAATGACTACAAAGTAGTGAGTAAGGACAAAGGCTCTGCCTGCATTCCGATCACAGTGATTCATCCGTATTCAATTACATGCCCTTCAACAATGTTTTAGTCGACTTGGATGGCATACTTTTAAGACACGGTCTGGGCATCCATTTTCTTATAGCAAGCAAGTAATGGGGCTCGAGTTCTACCTCTGGCATCTCTAAAGAAGAAAATGTAGCTTCAGGCTTAACTGGTAAATCAAGTCCTTTTGAAATGAAGTAAGCACCAGCTGAAAGCGCTGAAGCACTGGACAGACGCAGACGTGGGAGAGTAAAAGGGAACAGTAAAACCACCAAAAAGCTGAATCAGAAAAAGCCGAAATCAAGTTACTTCAGTTAAAAGAGAGTATTTTTAAAAATATTGTACTCAAAGGGAAAATCAATTTCCTTCTTTAGAATGGACTCCGAGATTTAGATCACTACACCACTGGGAGGTAGACTGGAAAGTACAATTTGATACTGGAATGTCTGCAGGATTCATCTCATACCTTCAGCGGCTAAAAACCAGCAACTGGGCACTCCCTCCGTCAGCTTCGTTCCTGATGGGAGCTCTAATCTTAGCTTGAACTGCAGGGTCTGGCCTGGAGACGCAGCCACTGGAGAAAGTCTAATGTTTGGAGCAGATTTAGGTAGTTTGGGTAATGTTTTCTGTTTCTCTACTAGGAACGGGCCATCTACCACAGCGTTGTCAGGTCTGAAGAATGGGAGCTAGGAAGTAAGAAGATCTGTTACTTCAAGCACAAGTACATTATAGTAATCATAAAGAGCTTATTTTTGAACCACAGTTGAAAAATGAGATTCTGTGTCAATGAAACTTAACTCCCCTTCTAGTCTGAATTAGAAGAGTGCTTATTTAGATGTCCTCATGGTTATTTTATAGGTTCAGAAACGTATTTCATCCTGGCTATAAGATTACCAATACTAATGAGACAGAGCTAAGTTCATTGTCCAGTATGTTTATAGATGGTAGGAAATTAAAGTAAAAGTTTATCATTTAAACGCAGTGGATATAATTCCACTTATAACTTTTCACTGCTGATTATAAGATGATCTATGTCAGGAGAAAACAACACTTATATTATGATGGCATAATATTTTGTATTATGTACTGTATGCTGTATTTTTATTTTAAAATATATTTTGGGAATTCCTAGAATTTTAGGAAAAAAAGCTCCCCCTCCCCCAGCCAACTGTGATATATCAAGAGGTAGCTTAAAAATTTTTGGAGACTATATCCTAATCTTTAAAAATTGACTAGAACTCCATTTAATAAGTTTTTTTTCCAATCTTATTTTCAATGTGTTGAGAAGTGTGGCTCCTACAGTTTCCTTTGGGAAGTTATCTGGTAAGAGATTAATGTGTGATCTTTGTTTCCTATGGTGAATCCAAGAATCCTTAAACACACACACACACACACACACACACACACAACACCTAGACAACCCAACCCATGTAGTGTGTATGTTCTGTGGTTCAGTGTGTATATGTCTATACATTTTTTTAAAGACATTTAAACATAGATGAAAGTTCCAATTCTCTCCAATTTCTAGTATCTTAAACACTCTTGTCACAACTGGAATTTTTATCTTACCAAGAACAGAGCATCCTGGAAGGAGGCATTCACTCACTACTCTACCTACATGTTTCACGTCTAACCTAGAGATGATCTGACCAAAAGTGCCTCCTTCTGTGCTGTGAGGACTTTAGTGTCATTCTTAAAATGATACTCTTTAACTTATACTTTGATTGCTTACCACAGAAATCGTTTTTGTTTCTAAATCCATCACTTTAATTTGATGATTATTGGTGTCTGCTACATATAATAACTGGTCATTCTCTCCAATACACAAGCCTCCTGGTTCATTAAAAGTTGACTCGGTAAAGGTCGAAGTGGTAACATTACTAGCTTCTCCAGTTCCTGCTAATGTTGAGCAGTTTTTTGTTTTTGGATCCACAACTTTAATCTAAAAAGAAAGAACAATGCAGTATATATCCGAAGGTCAATTTCACGTTCGTAGTATAGAAAAGTGCCCTGAAAAGCAAATCAGAGAATTTGACTGCTATTAGCATTGTTACTAAATCTCAGAAAAAGAACAGGCATTTCCAGGGCACTTGAGTGGCTCAGTCAGTTAAGTGTCTGGCTTTTTTTTTTTTTTTTTTAAAGATTTTATTTATTTATTTGACAGGCAGAGATCACAAGTAGGCAGAGAGCCAGGCAGGCAGAGAGGAGGAAGCAGGCTCCCCGCTGAACAGAGAGCCTGATGCCCCAAGTATCTGGCTCTTGATTACGTCTCAGGTCCTGCTCAGGGCTGTGAGACTAAGCCCTGCCTCAGGCACCGTGCCCAGCAGGGAGTCTGCTTGAGATTTTCTGCCTCTCCCTCTCTCTTGTTCCTCCCCACACTCATGCAGGTACTCTCTCTCAAATAAATAAATCAATCTTAAAAGAAAAAATAGGCATTTCCCTATTTTCTTGAAAAGTCAAATATTCAAATTACAGACTCAGGGGAAACACTCCATTCTGAGAGCTAAAAACTCTGTAAAACACCCAGTTACATCTTATCTTTCAGCAGCAATCTTTGATGAAATTATTTCTGGAATCAAATTTTTTAAAATGTTATGCTTTTTCCTCACAATGAGATGCAGTTGAACAGACTTTCTTCTTTCTCATGAACATCTAACACGGGTTGAGAATTGGCCACTTATGTTAAACCTAATGATTTCCAATTGTGCCTCAATTATGTTAATTTATGGTGTCATCACAAGGTATTAACATTTTCCACTCATTTTTATAGAAAAGAAAAATGCAATAAAAATGGCAACAGTTGAATAATTCGTGCAACAGAGACAAAAATGGAAATGCTGCTGAAAATGGAATTATTTGCTAGCAGGCACTGCAACTATGCAACAGCTCAAAAACGTTCCTTTGTTAGTTGACATATTAATTTCCCTGCCACCTGCTGCCTTCTTATTTACCGTTACTAGGCAGCTTTGATGGATCGCAATTCACGATTTTTTGCTGTAGTCATGGGGGATTTATTTAGTCCCTTCCCCAGCTCCGAGTGCCATCGTATCCTCTTTGCAAAGAAAGGACTAAGAAAAGAACAGCAAAGGCTTGTACATTAGTTGTCAAAGACTGTTACTCCTCTCTATTTTAAAGTGGCAGTTGGAGGAGGCTCACAAAGCTTTCAGCTTTTAAATGCCACAGATGAAAAGCAGGATATTCTAGAATTCTGTTGAGACTCACCTTGTGATTATAAGAGTCTGCCACGTAAAGTAAATTCCTTTTCTTGTCCCAAGTTACTCCAAGTGGGTGCTGAAGCTTGGCATTGACTCCTACTCCATCAACATCACCAAAAGCAAATAAATTCTTTTTTTTTTTTTAAAGAAAAAAATCACACATTAAAATTTTTATAGTGCTACCGCACAGGGTATAAAAAGACTATATATTCTACTTAAAGGGGAAATGGGTCTGATTTCATATAAATCGGCCTGGGTATTCAATTTAGACCCAAAAAAATGACAGAATTTTGAACCTGTGTTAATTGTGGCACTTGGTAGTTTTATTCACAGTAATCACACATCTGGTCAGGAACCAGTCAAGTCTACTAATCTGCTGCTCTTTCCACCCTCCTGCCAAGTATCTAATTTACATTTTCCTCTTCCCTCGGTGATCAGTATTTATCCTTCCATTCTTCCTGAAGCCTTGACATTTGTGTAATCAAATTAGAGTCAATTGACTTTTCTTAGATGGTCTTGTTACTTGTGTTTCTTTATATTCACAATTCCTTCGGCCCGACTTCCACTTTAATTTATGGACAGGCCAAGAACTAGTTCTCCTGAAATTTATTAAATCTTCGCTATTTGAAACACACAAGCGTGCTAAGGTCTGGGCGTAGCATGCGAAAGTGACCTTCACACATTACCATGGGATCTCTCTCTCCTCCCACGAGGGGCTTCACTGCCCCGTCCTTCAGCGAGACGGTTCGCACTGTGCTGCTCTCACTGTCTGCGACAAACAGGCAGCTCCAGGGATCTTCCGGGGCCACAGAAAGACCTGAAGGCTGGGCGAAGCCCGCCTTGTGAGGATATGCGTTATTTCGGTTCTCTTCATTTCCGCTTCCAGCAAACCGAAGGCAGGTTCCTTTTTTCAGTTCACTAAAAAAAGCCAAGTTCATAGGTGGAATTGACATCATTATTTTGTGTCCAGTTTAGTAATCAAATGAATTTAAGTGATGAAACTGGTGGAGATAAACATTGTTAAAAAAAACAGACATGTGATCTTAGCCTTAAGTGTGCAAGTCAGCTTTTTCTAAAGTTTTTCTAAATCATTAATGTACTTTTTTTTTTTTTGGACATACACAAAATTGAAACTATTCTCAATGGCCAGAGAGGAAATCCCTGACAAGAATGATCATATCGTTGACTGGATAGTGTGTGTGTGTGTGTGTGTGTGTGTGTTTTCTACAAATGTCCAGAGACAGGTATATCTGGATCCCACCTCAACTTCTTAAAGGACGATTATGCTGCTTTAATCAACTGTAAAATCAATTTTTTATATACAATAGGGAAACTTCTACTTAAAGGACTTTGCAATGATTCTTTTTCTAAGAAAAGTTTTACACTTTGTCTTCCAGGTTTATGCTAGAGGAAATAGAAGGAAGACATGGTGATGTGCTGTGTTGAGGGAGGGGAAGCAGCTGACTCAGGATGCAAAATAATGAGACAACATGTACATCATCATTTCCAGGTATGGCCCAGCAGGCCTAAGTCTAGGATGACCACCAATCACTTATTCATTGATGTGTTCCCCATGCTAAATTAGGTAGAGAACAGGGGATAGAGGCAAAGGGACACAGACTATATAAGAGTCAGCCACTTATTCAACAAACTTATTTAAAAATGTAGTCAGGGAAATATATGTGATAGCTAATATGCCAAACGAATAAGAGGTAATTAATATGAATCTTAATCTCAAATAGGAGTTTCTTTAATTAAATAAAAGAAAGAGTGGGGAGAAAAAGTAACTTCTAAAATGTTAGCAGTCTTTACCACTGGAAGATCAGTAATACAGATCAGGCATCCTTAAAACTATGATACACGTCCATGGGATCCAACTGGACATTTTCCTATTATGAACAAGAGTGAGAACTCTACTTATTTGGAAATTTAGCCCACTCTTGACCATATGGGTCGAAAATAGCCATCAATTAGAACAGTGCATTCTGGCCATCTCTGTTACTGTTTATAATTATGCCTCATGTTAACGTTTCTGGTCACTGTACTGTCAGGCTATCATCTCTTGCCTAGAGATAACCATAGTCCCCTCACTGCTATCTCTGTCTCTAGTTTTGTCCCAGGCCAAATGCTGCCAGTGTTCTTTGAAAAGCACAGATCTAATCACTTCACTAGCTAGCTCAAAACTTTCCATAAAGGCATGCAGAATAATGTTCACATTTCTTCAAAGGACACATAAGGCGCTTCATGATCTGGCTTTTACTCACAAAACTAGTGTCATTTCTTGCCAGGAAAACCTCCACTCTCCTAAGTCCTACTCCTCTATCCAGTTTTAATTTAGCAGCTTCTTTCAGGAAGCCTTCCTTGATACCTCATATTTTACTGATATTGGGTTCCTCTTATTTACGTGAGGGACAATTTTACTTTAAGGACAGCCGGCTAGGAGGAAATGGTTCTGGAGACCAGTAAATGCAACCAGAAACAGCACCGGGGAGAGAAGGAAAACGAGGGAAGGAGGAAGGGAGACAGGGAGAGAAGGAACTTACCAGTGCAGTAACGTAACTACGCAGGGAGGGTAATGAGGTCATAGAGAAGAATATGGTCAGTTCTACCCGGAACGTGAGGGAGAAGAGACAAGGCTCTACAGAAGGGGTATAAGAAACTGTGCAGATGCGCTACTTTTTCATTTTTATGTCCCCAACAGTGGTGGTGAAACTCCTACATTTACTGTGTAAACCAGGCATTAGGCTGAGCTCTTCATACGTACTGCTCGTTTTCAAAACATGCCTATGAAATAGATCCAAGAGACCGAAGCACAGAAGTCAAACCGGCTCTCCTAAGCTCCCGCGGACGGTGAGCGGCAGAGCCACGATTCAGCCGCAGGCAGGACCACAAAGCCTGAGCCGCTAAGCACTCTGCCAGGTAGCGTTCAAACGTCCGCGTTCCGAGCAGGGGTACGGGAGCTGCACGTTAGGAGAGGAGGGGCCCCCAAACACTTCTCTGGAGGCTCAACGGGACTGGTCTTCCCCGTTCCCGGAAGTCAGCAACGGCGGCCACAAGAACTACTTGGGCTGAAGAAATTTAAGTAGAGCTGATGTGTGTCCCTTCTGAGCAACTCACCGCCCCTCTCTCTGCCAGGATTACCGGCAAAGGTCCAGATGGTGGCTGCTTCATCAGCCTGGCCAACAGCCCGGCAGAGGAGCGCTCCCCACCGAACCTACGTGAGCAGGCAAGAAACCAACCTTATCTCAGGCTCCTGAGAATCCGGGGTGTTTGTTACGGTGCCAGAGCCCAGCGCACCCCAACTAGCACAGAGGTGTTGCGAGGAGAGAGACCTGAGGAGAGGGGATTCTGTGAACTCATGTAGTTCGCCCAAAGAGGGAGACGGTCACTTACTTTTTCTTTGGTAGTCTGCCACAGTCCAGCAGCAGTGCCCATATCTGATGAGTCCCTGCCATGGCTATCCACAGAATATCATCTCTTTGGACCTCTGAACCTTTATAAAAATAAACAGGAATTAGTGTCTCATTAATACAAATACCCACATCTTTCAGAAATTTAAAGATGACAGCAGTATGTTTATAAGTCATCTGAAGAAGAAAAAAGTATTTACAGTTTTAAGTTGCTTTTGAAATTTTTCCATTTTCCTTGTGAAAGGTTTCTTTAGATTCATAAATTTACCTGTAAATTCACAGAAATCCAAAGTATTCTTAAATAGCAGGAAGTCCCTCTGCATCTCTGGGCACAATGTTTTTAAATATCTGATTTCTTATTTGATAAAATAGGTTGACATATACTCTCCAAAGAAACTCTGTCAGTCAAACACCTAGCCTAACCACTGAAATCATATGCTTTAATAACAGCTTCTTTGAATAATTTCTCATGAAAAAACCCCTATCTTTTAATAGTGTAAGAAATAGGTATTTCCACTGGGGGTGCCTACCTGGCTCAGTCAGTAGAACATGCGACTCTTGGTTTCAAGGTCATGAGTTCGAGCCCCACATTGGGCAAAAGTAAAATAAAGGGGTGCCTGGGTAGCTCAGTTGGTTAAGCACCTGCCTTCGGTTCAGATCATGATCCTAGGGTCCTGGGATCCAGTCCCACATTGGGTTCCATGCTCAGTGGAACAACTTCTCTGCCTGCTGCTCCCCTTGCTTGTGTGTTTAGTCTGTCTCTGACAAATAGATAAAATCTTTAAAAATATGTATTTTTTAAAAAAATATATTTCCACCACAGGATTGGCTAGACTTTGAAACACATCACAGTTCCTATTTGAAAATCCATTATTTAAATGGCTTTGAGGCTTTTTTCAAAAACTATAGTTGACATGCAAAAGAGCTAAAACTATATTACAATATAGACTATACAATATATTATAATTGTTTACGCAAACTTGTAAGTAATTTTCTACTTTCTTAGACCGTTACAACTTATTAGAATGTGACAAGGCTCTATTTTTCAAATTAATGCTACTGTTAAAATATTTAATTTAGGAGTACCTGGCTGGCTCAGTCAGTGGAGCATGTGACTCTTGATCTTAGTCGTGAGTTGAGGGGTGTGGGGCCTAAAAAAAATGTTATGTATTTTAAACTGTATCCTGAGGTGACTTTTACATGTAGTAGAGAATTTTAAAAATAATTTGGTCAGATATTCCTTTTGCTAAAAGAAATATCTTGGTAAGGCAATTTTATTTGTTATTTTAACTTCAAGTAGTGTGTCCAGAAGGAACCTGTTTTCCTTCACTTGTATTACCTTCAAGTGTCTTTCAATTTAACGACAACAAAAATAGTATTGATGGTTCTCAATAAATTGTGGTGGCTATGTGCCAAGCACTTCATAGAGATTATCACTTACATTTTCTCAAATGCCCCAAGGGACAGGTAGTGTTATTAAGCCCTTTTTACAGATGAAGGAACTGAGGCCTTAGAGAGGTGAGGGAACTTGCCAGAATCCCAGCACCAGTGAATGAACAGGAATCTGACACCAGGCAGTGCAACAGAAAAATCTGGATCACATGTTGCCTCTTTTTCTGTGTTCTTAATTGCTATCCTATGAAATCTAAAGGAAAGTATTTCAATTTAATTTTTCGTAGTCAAATATTTTTATGAACAAAAATTATATTAAAAGTGACAAGGGCATCCATTTATTCTGGGGACTCGGTCTCTGCTTAATCACCTTCAGAGTAGATCAAAGCTTTTCCTAAGTACTTTATTTTGCTCCTGCCATGGGAGGACAAGGTACAAAGGTGACCATCCATAAGCCAGAAGAGAGCTCTCTCCAGAAACCAGTCATGCTGGCCTCCTGACCTTGGACTTCTAGCCTTCAAAACTGTGAGAAAATAAATTTCTGTTGTTTAAGCCACCTCAACTGTGGTATTTTGTTATGGCAGCCTGAGGTGACTAAGACATACCCCCTGAGAAGAGAAATGAGACAAGGGTATCTGCTAATCAACATTTTTATTGAGCATCATTTGAGGCCCCAATTTGTGCAACAAGAAGCAAAAAGCATAAAGATTAGAAATAAAGCTGCAATTATTAGAAGATGACCTGCTTTGAAAGCCTCTACCTTGCCAAAGGAGAGCTGTGTTGGTATATAGCTGAGTTAAAGGCCAAACCAGTTCTCCAAACAGACCAGCCTAGTTCAACCAGGGTCTATTATATGAAGGCCAAATTTCATAGTAATAAAGTGCGAACAGTTTGTTTGGTTTTGCTCTCTGTGTACTTATTTCCTTTAGAAGCCTCACGAATGAGAAAAAGTAGAGAAGCAAAGGCTGTGTCAGATCATGATTTCAGTGTCTTGGGATTTCCCATGACAACTGATGGTGACGATGATGATGACAGTGGGAAGGAGGGAGGATGGCGACCATCCAGAACATTTCCCATATTTAAGGCACTGAGCTAAGGAATAAGCACCTTACGGGGATTACTTCCTTTAATGACTTTACTAAGTCTTATTCTTATCATCTCCATTTTACAAGGCAGCTGAAATTGAAAAGGGTTAAATAAATTATTGAAATTCACATAGCTAAACCCAGAATAATAATCTATTAGTGAGTCTGACTCCAGATTATTTGTGTTCTGATCAGAACGCAGGAAATACAGAAGCGAGCCTGGGCTCTTCTGGCCAAGTCCTTGCTTGGCCCATTGACTTCTCCCTCCCTCCTGCCTCTGCCCCATGGACTTAGCTCAGGCTTGAAGTACACAAAAGCATTTTCTGTGTGATCGGAAGCAGAGATCTGATTAAATGTAATCATGCCTGTCTATTCTAGGATGTGTGCCTGGTTCACTCCTGTCCTTCCCTCCCAGTAACCTGTGGCATAAGCCTATGGCCGAATAATCTCCTACCAGGATTTTTTCCTAATCCCTTGCCTTTCCATTTTTGGTTTGTTTCAGCTTATCGGCAGCTCTCTGTGACTCACAAGATGAAACTCTACGTTATAGCAAATACTTCCGCAGTACTTTCTATGGGGCCAGGCTCTATTCTAAGTGCTCATGTATATTAGCCCTCATAATTCTTGTAATAAGCTTCTGAGCTAGATACTATTAATATCTTTAATTTAGATGAGGAAATTGGGGCATAAAGAGACTAGGTAACTTGTCCAAAAATCACATAACTACTAAGATGTAAAACTAATTAAAACCCAAGTGGTCTGGCTCCAGTCCATGCAATACTGCCTCTGAGGAAGTTTTTACCCAGCCCGATCATTCGCCCGAGGGCTGAAGGATTTGTTCTTGCAGATAAAATGTGAGTTGAAAGAAAGAAAAAGAAAGAAAGAAAGGAATGAAGGAAGGAAGAAAGAGGTCTGGCATTTATAAGGCTTATCAAACCAACCAGAATCGTATTAATAATGTACATTGTTCACCCTGGAGTCTGAAATGCGAAGCACACAGTTGTACTATCACATATGGGTATTAGTTTTGTTCCTTCTAACAAGAATGTGACAATCATAAACATCTCAATTTTAAATTAAGAGTACACTTAGTATTATTGATTTTCAACAGTCACTTAAAAATAAAAGAGACTATGCCAAAAGCTGAGAAAGGTTTAGCAAGTATTTCAAAAGACAAAAATCTTTCATTAGTAAGGATTAGTGAAATAATTTTTGAAGACAGGAATAAAACCAGCAAATGAAATACGAAAATAAAAGCAAATTACCTGCCAATGAGCTTTTAAAAATTCAGTGTTCTATTAAGCAGCTATGATCAAAAATAGATCCCAATCATTAGAACCCTCTAAATAGCAACTGGGAAATTGTCCATTTGTGTAGTTTTTTTTCTACACAGTCTCTAAACCTCCTAGGAAGCAAAACCTCAGGCCATCAGGAGAAAGAAGTAAAGCCTAACACCGCCTTGCACAGGAAAACACGAATCATAGCTGTAGAAGGGTAGGAAAACAAAAACCAAAAAAAACAAAAAACAAAACAAAACAAACAACCTTTCTACCTCTCTCTGGGGGAGGAGCAGAGAACCACCTTTGGCCAAAGACCCCATACTGACACCAATGCAGGTTTTCCACTGCTGAGGGAGCAGTGGTTCCTCAGAACCACTCAGAGTTTAGATGCCAGAGACAGAACAGAAGCAATAAGGAGGCCCAGGCACACAGAGTCTCCCGGAGACTGAGGCTGACCAGAAGAACAGAATACCTCCTTAGCCCCACTGCAGCCTAGTACAGAATACCAAACAGCAGCTATCTGGCTCGTGAGGAGCTGCGAGAGCGCAAGGAGACAACCACCCTGGGGCTCGGCTGTGCAGGATGACTGAACACTGCTGGGTACTGACACTGAGAAAAACCCTCCGGCATGTAGGCCCCTGTGCTAAGGTAACAGCAGCCCAGTGCCAAAGCGTTGTGAAAGCTGTGATAAACTGACAGTTAAGCACAGCAATAAAACCCCAAGTCAGCCCAGGTTCTGTTTAATTGACTCAACCTCCCTTATAATGGCATAAATACACTGATCTCATCAGCCTCTAAAGTTCTATTCAAAATTACTGGAATATAACAAAAAAATTGAGAAGACACACATAAAAGAAAAGCAGAACAAAATAAAATAAAACAACCCAAAACCAAAACCAAAACCCCATTTTCAAGAGGAAAAGGAATCAACAGAAACAGACTCAGAGATGACCTGAAATTTACAACTACACGACATGGACTTTCTATGTTAAAGAATCTAGAGAAAAAAGTGGTCAACACACCTATACAGATGAAGAATTTAAACAGGAAGATGGAATCTATAAGAAATAGTAAAATGGAAATGCAATACCAGAAAGAATCAGTGATAAAAATTCTTTCAACAAACTCATCAGTTGATTAAACATAGCTGAGGAAAAAATGACCCTAAAGATAAATCAATATAAATTATATGAACTGAAACACAAAAGGGAGAAAAAGGGGTGAAATAAAAAGAAAACATGGTATGGAAGAGTTGCTTACATACAAGTAACTGAAATCCCAGAAAGAAGAGAAAGGAGCAGAAGACATATTTGAAGAGCTGAAGGA